GAGAATCAGAGTCACAAAACCTGTCTGTAACTAATTTTTTTCTCTTCATGAATGAAAAGCTTGTGAATCAATTTCCTCCTTAAATTCAAGGGCCAGAAAAATAATATATTCCACTTGATTGTCAGCTCCAATCACTGAAGATTATCATCTTATTGAACACAATGCTTAAATAAAATATCATCTCTTCTTTAAATGATCTAAATATAAGAAAAGTAGAAACAGAAATACTAATTTTAAAAAGACTGTTGATGTCACTGTGGTTTATTAATTCAATATATAGGGTTTTTGTATTATTTTAAAGCAAAATCAGAAATTAAATACACATGCCCTTTTTAGAAAACAAATATCAGTAAGTCTTAACTAACAATTGTTGTTGTTGTGTACCATAGAGCTGGAACCCATAATTGACCCTATGGAGGGTTTTCAGAGGTAGTTAATCACACAGGAGGAGATTGTTCATCTTCCGAATCATGTGCCTTCAGGATTGCAGCACTACTTCTTACCACTCGGCCACCAATTATTGTTGTTGTTGACTGCCTTCGAGTCGAGAACGACTCGGAGCTACCCTATGAATAAGAGGCTTGAAGCCCCTCTACAACCATCAACATTTGTCAAGATTCATAGGGTTTCCAGAGGCATGTTATTTAAGAAGTGGGGACCACCAATTAGTCACTTAAAATGTAAATGTGAGACACTGACATTTTAAAAGTGTACACCACAGTTACACTCCTAAATTTCTCCTGAACTGTGTTTATAAACACAAAATTGCAAACCTGGAAGATGTATTTTAATACCAAGATAATATCTTCCCTTAGAAAGAAAGAATCTGAATTCAAAGTTCACAGGAGACCAACGATTAAGGTACCCGTAAGCAGGAGGAAAGACTTCAGACACTTAGATGCTTGATTAAAATGTAAGCATTTAATAAAACTATTACAATAGCATATAGTATATATCTTAATGAAAAATATTTAAGTCAGGAAAATAATGAATTCTGGACTTAAAATTTTACTTTACAACAAGGCACTTAACACATTGATACAGTAAATTTCCAAAAGAATGCAATTGGCTACCTCTCAAATCTTGCAAGAATATTTCTTTTGTGAATATACTGTAACATAACCATACATTTTGCAGCATTAATCATTGCATAGGAGGTAAATTAAATAATGAATACCAACTAGATTACTTTTCTTTTTATAGTTTCTTTTGAAGGACATTTTTGGGTAATTACACAATAATGAACTATCCTCACACATGATCCATTTAGAATTTACAACATAGTTAAAGAGCAATAAAATAAATCAAAATGTATAGAGATAAAAAATTTGCCTCTGAGTACCTCTGACATGATGTTCAGGGTTTGGGTATTGAAATCAAGAGCATGTCTTAATAGAAGAAATCATTCTAGCAACTTAGGCAGAAGAGTGAAATTATTGCAACACAATGGCATTAAAAAAACCAGAAATCTTTACACATACAAATATAGAAGCTTTTAACAGAGGCGCATTACTTGTTATATACTTGATTTAATCATGTAAACTCATTTATTAAAAAATTCCTTCTCATACGTCCTTACATTATAGAAGTGAACGTATTAATACAAACATAACTTTATAATCCATTTTACAGTGCAAAACAAAACAAATACAAAGGAGCAAAAAAACCCCAACCTTAAAATATTAAAGGAACAAGATACAAACGTTGAATTAAAAAAGAAATGGCAAAAAAAAAAAAGAAATGGCATGAGTTCAAATATGTTTTTTAAAAACCCCAACCAAACCAACTAAAAACACAAGAAAACAAAAGTTATGAGAGACAATCAATGTGGTATTGAAAAGTAAACATAGCATAGGTAGTTTTAAAGGGAGACATTAATGATTGTGATGGTGAGAGGTAAAAAGGGCCTATAAATTTTCTTTGCTTAAATATTAACTCCCTATAAATCTGAGCATATTTTACCTTTGGAAGAGGCTTAAAATACCTTTAAAATAACTCCTTCCACATGATATTTTCATATTATTGGCAAAAGTAATTAAAAACAAATGTCTGTTAAAATTTTGAAAATATATCTAAAATGGAAAGTTTGCAGTCCAAATCAATGTACCAAAACATATTTGGTAAAATTTGTGTTATTCCACAAGAGGGCACTAGTATACAGCAAAGAACTTGACACACCATCTATGAATCACTCTCAAGACCAAGCTTATCTCCAAAGTAAAAACTTCTTTCCCATGGTGCCAGGCAATTAAAGAATCAATTTACAATTACTTCAGATAGAAGTGGTGAAATAATGTTTTATTTTTAAAGATAATAGGTGTTCAAGAATTTATTCTGCAAGGAATTAATTTATATGTGGCATACATTCTAGGAACTGTATGGAGAGCAATTATACAGAAGCACTAACTTACAGGAGAAGCTTCAAATAGGAGCATTTGTTCCAAAACAAACCAAGGATAATGGATAGGTCTTTGCTTGTAACTCAAGGGACACAGATTTTAAAAAGAGTTTCAAAACTTTACCATTGCAATGGTGAGATCCTAAGTGTTTGCGTTTGATGATTTCAAATCAAAGAGGCATGTTGGGTTGAATCTCGCATTTTCTTTCCTAAAGGCATTCTCTTCTCTCATTTTGATTTTTGCTTTCCTTGCATGATTTTACAATCTTATCCTTTCCAGGCACATGTAAGAGTGAGGACATATACATGTGAAGGACTTGAGAACAGTCACGTTCAACTGGTGGGGTCACAAGTGTTGGTAAAGTTCTTTGAAAGGTGATGATATGCTTTAAAAACAAGATTACCTGACTGATGTTAAAGGTATTTACTAAACAATACATGATGGTTTTTAACACATTGCCGCAAATGATGGTAATACATAAAAAAAAATGTGTTTCTAAGAACAGTGGTCAATTTAAAAGTGTGTGGCAACGTGTTAAAGATTTTATAGTTTTAATTTTTAACTGAAAAAAAAATGAAGACACTGGGACAGACCAACAGCTTTATTTTCATTAGACACTTCATAAAAACACTTTGATACAGGAGGACAAGTCAGGACTTCAGAGCCAGATGTTTTCCCTCTTAATCAGACAAGGATTTTAAATCAAAGTGCTTTCCTGATTACTTAGTATATGGACATGATGTATTGAATTATGGTTCAACACATCAAATAGGTTATAGAAATGCTTATTCTTGGTTTATTTAGTAATAAATACCAGAACACCCCGTGCTTCAAAGCTTACCAAGATGTTTAGGGTTTCAACCCCTGTTTTAAATAATCAGAGTAGAGAGTCTTTCTTTCTGGTTTTGAACTCAACTATTCGTGCCTCCGTTACTCTGCAGGAGAAAGATGGGAAATTTCCTCTGGAGTAATTACTGCCCCCAAAAAGCCACTGCAGGGTCAGCTATGAGTTGGTTCCGACTCAATGGTACATAATTATTACCCAAAGAGAGAGTCATAAAGAAAACATACACAGAATTTTAGCACCAAAGGAGGACGACTTTTCAGAGTAGAGCTGTATTGTGCTTTTCTCCAACAAGTTATAAAGGTCAAGGCTACCTTAAGAAGCACTGGTGGTGCAGTGGTTAAAGCAGCTCCCCCTTGCTAAACAAAAATTTGGTAGTCTGAACTCATCCCACCAGACCTAGGGAGAAAAATATGGCAGTCCTCTTCCTGAAAGATTGTTGTTTCTATGTGCCATTGAGTCACTTGCAACTCATAGCAAGCCTGTGTTCAACAGCTCTGAAGCCTGCCCTGTCCTGAGCCAGTCTCACTGACTCCAACACACCTACCCTCTTTACCCCAATTACTGTATCAATCCATCTCATCTGGGTCTTCCTTTCCTGTGCTGTCCCTCCACCCTTCCAAGCAAGATTACAGTCATTAATTATTACCCTGTGTGGCTGCTCTACAGAGTAGTCGAGTTGGAATTGGCTCAAGGAGTTTTGGTTTAGGTACTTAATCAATGATGACCAATTTTGTTAATAATAAAGTTAGGGCTGTTTGTCATTCTATTGTGGGGGGGGAGGGGAGGAATTTCACCTTCAGTATAAACAAGACAACCACCTTCAATCCTCATTTCTTTTTCTCATTCCTTAGTGTTGCTGATTTTACAATTTTAAATCCTTTTTTCAATACTACTAAAAAAATTTAAGAGACTAAGAAAACTTCTTAATTAAGAGATCAGCCAAAATTAAGCCAAGGTGTGTCAATGGCATTAAATGATATAATCCAACTATTTAAAAATTTATCCACTTTTTATTACATCACCTCAAAGAAATTTAGAAACAGTTATCCTCTTACTGTGTAGCTGTAACTGATGCACCAACTCCAACACGTAGGTTATAGTGAAGCACCGTGTTTTAATCCTCACAGGGTAAAAGTGAAACGGTTCAACTGGGTTGTGTTTTAAGGATCTGTTTACAAGAGGCTGAGTTTCTTGCTAAAAAGTAAGGATGCATGGTACTTCTGACTGCTATCTTGGTTTTCCCGTAATGTAACTACAAAGATGCAACACAGATCTGGGAGGAAAATGCAGCCTTGTTCCCCAGTGGCACCAGCATCAGTCCATACAGGTGTTTCCAGCCTGTGTTCATGAACTTGATTGCACTGAGGGTACCAGGTGCAAATTTTCCAGCTGTAGAACTGCGTACACCATGAGCAATCGTTAGTCAAGCACTCAAGGTTTTTTTCTGAATTGGTGTTAAGAGATTTTTAAGGTGAAATATTTACATGCACATGAAATCTAAGGGGGATGCCAAGTATGTCCTTATTTATTTAGACAACCACGTTCTTTTTAATAAAATTATCCTTTTTTGAAGTGATAAGTGATACATAGTCGTAGCAGCAGTGCACATTCCCAGCCCTGACCCTATCCTTTTGCATAATAGGGTAGAAACCAAGTTCACCTGAAGTTTACCAACAACCCCTGACTCTCCCCTCACTCTTAAGCCTAATGCTGGAAATACTCTCAACATCAGGTTATTTTATTTACACAGTAGCTGTATATATTCAGATATTTTATTTAAAACATTAACAAATTCTTCTGACCTTGGGAGGAAAAAATAACCCCCAAACTCCAACATTCAGGAATAGAGGGCTTTACATGGAGAAAGAATGAGGAAAGGAGTGAAATGTTCTTTGGCACCTCCTTTATAAGTTCATTAGTAAAATCCCAGCGTGGAGCTTGTCACCAACGAATGAAGAGTTGCAAGAAAATTCTTTTTCTCAGGATGAATAAAAAAATGAGTCAAGGGATAATACTTCATTCATCTCTCTGATCATTTATACACAATTTGGTCCACTGCTTCATCTGCCAGTCAATTCTCCTAAAATTAAAAACAAAACTATACCTTTGGTTACAGCGTTAACTCTTTTGGTTTAAGAGCGGGTGCCCTTGGTTTTGGCTCCTCAGGTAGATTTCTCATTATCTTCTCCGATCTTCTGTACCCGTGAATACTTTTTGCAGGATGATTTGAAGCAGCCCGGAGGCCAGGAGAGTGGCCAGGAGAAGCAGCAAGGAATTGAGCCTTGCACGTTTTTCTCAAAAAAATAAAAGATGGGGAACCACCATGCTCGAGATAAGAAATTAGTCTGTGAAGAGACCTTCAAGTTCTGAGAAAGGTAGAAAAAGAGTAAAATTAGATTTCTGCCCTTACTGAAATCCCAACTTTCCCCTTAAGTATCATTCATTGTAACCTAAAGGGTGATTTGCAGATTCTGAACCATGTGGTAGTTGTTTTTGTGACTTGCTTCTAACTGCTGCCATTCTTGTTGCCCTGAGCTTTTCCAAACTCTCTGTGGATCATCACAGTTGCTCACTTCTGCCTGCAATTCCACTGAGAATGGGGACTCAAGAATGGATGTAAGAGTCTCAGGAAGAATAATTTTTCAGGATCTGTAAGTAGTCAGATCTATGGTAAAAGACAGAATAGTGAAAGAAAAACCCAGAACACTGAACATATTTAAAAGGAAAGATGACAATTTTGTTTTGGTAGTGTCAGTAATGGTAGATATTCAGGTCTGCCTATACTTCTGAGTATAGGAAGGAAGACAGAAAAAAGAAGTTACACAGAGAAATCAAAGTCCACAGAAAGGGCATGGATTAGTGGACCACATCAACAAAGATGATACAACCAACTCTTTACTTAGAGATATGGTTATATTACAAAGACTGCAATTATGTGAAACATGGCATTATGCAAACTTACAGTAGGCTCAGTCTAAACAGGATTGTGTTAGTGTTTACTTTAGCCTACTATGTTCAATGCACAAGAGATGACCTGAAATGAATGATATTGCCTTATTCTTAAAATTGCTGACTATAGACTTAAGCTTAATATTGTATATTGTAAGGTTACATAACTCCCACATTATATCATTACAGAATTTCCACCATACATTATTATTATATAATTGCCAAGCCACTGAAAATCTTGGTTTAGCCAAGTTGACACGTAACCTCAAACATCACAACCAGTGTTCCTCTCCCCTCCCAACTTGGCATTTGCAAATGCAGAGCGACTACTGAGCAGAAGTAGTAGACTTTTAAAAACTATTATTATAAACATTAAACATCAGATAACAAGATAACACTGATATTCTAAAAGTAGCAAGAGGATGTTTGAGAAGGATCTATCTCAATTGCTTGCAAATTCTGCAAGACGTTATTATACGTATCACACAAGGTAACAAGGCTATCCAAAGTAAGTCACGGTAACAGACTAATCCTATTACAGCAAAGGACACACTAATACTCGTAAGACAGGGAATAATTCTACCCTGGGATTGCAGCTAGAGAGCAGGAGTAAGGGAAGGATTCCCAGAGAGGCTGTATTTGAGCTAGAGCTTCTAAAGAATGAATGTAAGAAAACAGAAAGGGCGTCTGGCAATAAAAAGAAAAAAAGTCAAGAGAAGCCAGAGAGCACAGAATCACCAAAGATGTCACTAAATCGAGTAATTCACAAGCTATTTATTTTGCCTGTTTCTTTCTCTCTGGAGACTAAGGTGCGTCTGATACAGGCTATGGTCTTCACAATCACTTGTTATGCATCAGAGAGTTGGACAGATGATAGAAGGAGAATTGATGCCTTTGAGTGGTGCTGGAGAAGAGTATTGAGAATACCATGGACTGCCAGGAAAACAAACAGATTTGTCCTGGAAAGGGTTAAACCGGGTGGCTCCTTGGAGGCAAGGATTCTGAGGCTCCGTCTAACATACTTTGGACATGTTGTGAGGAGAGACCGGTCCTTGGAGAGGGACATCATGCTTGGGAGGGTGGAGGGACAGCGCAGGAGAGGAAGGCCCTCTCTATGAGGTGGACTGATTCAGTGACTGGGATAATTGGGATGGGAGTGTCAGAGACAGTGCGATTGGCACAGGACAGAGCGGAGTTTAGGGCTGTTGTACATAGGGTCGCTATGAGTCGCAAGTGACTCGCCGGCACATAACAACAACAACAACAATTTTCTCTTAATAGCTATCATCTTTTCTTCAAAATTAATGCAGATTCTTTACAGGAAGAGGAAGTTTTTACCTACCACAGTGCTTCCACGGAAGCGTCCAACGTTTTAATTTAACATACACTCTCTTCAATTCCGGTATAATTACGTTAGTACAACTGTGCCCTTTAATTTTGTGGTATTTTTATCTGTGCCATTCACATTTGTCAAGGTTTTTTTTTTTATTTCATGAAGTGAATTGCCCAAATTATGTGTCTGGGTGGCAACAACAGTTACTCCCCTTAACTCCCAAAGAGTGCTGCGTGAGAAGAGGTTGGTTGCATTCAAAGGAAAGAGTCATCCAAGAATCTCCTGTTTCTCACCTTTTCATTGGCCATTGAATGGTACCACCAGAACAGCCGTGTTGTGATATAATAAGCAATGATCACATCGACAGTATAGTGTTCATGTGCTACAAGAATGCAGACGATCCCAGCAGCACTCAGCAGCCAGCAGATTAAATGATACCACCAGAAATGACGAGGTGAATCTGGACAGGAAGAAAAGCAGAGCTTTGTTCACAATAGCAAGGAGCTGGAAACAACCTAAGTGCCCATCAACAAACGAATGGCTAGAGAAGCTGTGGTATATTCGCACAATGGAAT